ACACTCCATGGCTTTTCATGTGTGTCAAGCTCAGGCTTTAAAATGACCTGAGAAGGTAGAAAACTCTGGCTCTCTGGCAGATCGAAGCACAGCTGGTCCTCCAGGCAGGAGCTGGAGCCTGTGAAAATGAACTGCCCCATTTCCTCGTGGGGCTGAGGGAAGCCTGAGGGGAGCCAAGCCTGCGACTTCTCCAGCATTTGTGACATCTCCCTCCCAACTGCAGGTCCAGGTTTTGCAGCATGCTGTTCACATGGGTCTTGTTGCCAAGAAAGTGGTACCTTTGGTGTGCTGCAGTGCTCTTCTGCAAGGGAGTTAGTCAGCTCTGCTCTTTAAATGTTCCTACACAGCAGTTGTGGGAATAAATGGCTCCTGTAACTGCTTATCTCCCAGAAAAACTGCTCCTGTTGACCAGCCCAGCCAGGAGCTGCCTGTTCTTGCTACTTCTCAGAGAATGCTAGGCCCCCCACCTTGCTGCTAGCTCTTGACAGCAATGCTAGCAGAGGGATCCTCCCCAGAGAGGGACCATGCTGCCTCTGGGGGACAGCCAGGGCAGTGCAGCAGGGCCCAGAGCACTGTGTCATGTGTGACATCCCAACTGGGGTGTGCAACAGTGGGGCTCAGCATCACCACTGTACCCAGGACCCTGAAGGGGCAGGCAGGAAAAGGCTGGGAGGAGGAATATGAAGTCCAGAACTGGCTGGGAAGAAGAACTGGAGCCCTTACAACTCTTGCATGTTCACAGCTTTGGTTTGTCTCCTCTATCCAGGAGTGAAATGAAGCGCTGGATGATTTCACTAGCCCCAAACCGGAGAACCAAATTTGTTTCATTTACATCCAGACTTGTTGGTAAGAGACACAGTATGGGAGCTGGGAGCTCTTCACCCCTACCCCAGGGCACTTTATTCTGCCTGATCTCAGTGCAGCCACATAGCTGGGACCTATGCCAAAGCTGAACCCTCTCCCTAGGCTTCCCTCCTTTTCCACCACCAATACCTGCTTGTCTTTGGGCCTGGCCCTGACCTGGGCTGGGCTGCACCAGCACTTTCCCTCCCATCCAGGCTGCTCATGACTGGCACCACTGTGGTGGTTACATGAACCCAGCTCCCTTCCCAAGAGTTGCTTCCCCAGTACCTGTGGCAGGGGCACTCCCTGGCTTCCCCAGATCAGAGGGACCATGTGCAGAGCTCATGAGGCTACAGCCACCCAAGCTGTGCTGTTTTTCAAGGGCCTCCATCCCAGTCCACCCCTCACTCTTGTCCTGTTTCTTGGCAGACTGCCCACAGATCCAGTGTGTCCACCCGTACGTGGCCCAGCAGCCTGATGAGCTCTCCTTAGAACTGGCTGATGTCCTCAACATCCTGGACAAGACAGATGATGGTATGGGGATGGGATGGGGATGGGCTGGGAGTCCCTGTGGAAGGATGGGCTTTGCTGCAGGCAGGCAGCTGTGAGTCTCTCCCTCCTGCCAGGGAGAGGATCTGGCATCAGCATCACAGCCAGAGAAGGAAGGTACTGCCTTCTCCTAATAGCCAATCCAGGTTGCCTAAGTTGTGGCACTACTGACACAGCCTCCCAGCACCAGCTGAGGGCCATAGTAGAGCTAGCACAGCCACTCCAGATATAACCCAGTGTTATTCTTACCTTCATGATGCTTCACAGCCACGTGATCCTGCTCTCTGGGGTACTCTTGTAGATGGTGGTCTCAGTCACACTGGATGTCTGCTGGGGACCACTCCTGGCTCCAGGGACAGCAGAGGGCATTTGATGGCAGCAATGCCTGCGTTCTGCTGGCATCCCTTGAGCCAGTTGTCCTCATATGATGCTGCTCAGGCTGGCTCTTTCCAGCACAACTAGGAGCAAGCGCAGGAGCAAGGGCCAGTCCTTCCCCACTTATGCCTGTCTCTGTCTGTACTCAGGCTGGATATTTGGGGAACGTCTTCACGACCAGGAGAGGGGCTGGTTCCCCAGTTCAATGGGGGAGGAGATCCTGAACCCCAAAATCCGAGCCCAGAACCTGAAGGAGTGTTTCCGGGTGCACAAGTCAGATGACAGTCAGAGAAGAAAACTGGGCAGCAGAAACCGCCAATGACCACCGGCATCTCCAAGCATCTGGAGTGCCTCAGAGAGGCAGAAGACAGAGGCTGCCAGCTGGGAGAAGGTGGCAGCTGTGGGACACTGTGGGGGACCTGGTGCACTGGACGAGGCACACAGACCCATGAACAGACAGACTGTCATTCCTAGGCCCTCCAGAAGCACTGGTCCTTTCCGGGGGATCAGCACTTTAAACTGTAAATAACCCTTTTCCAAGTGTTCTGTAAAGCCCCAGAGAGCATGAGCTCAACGGACACTGTCTGAAGGCCACCAGGTGCTGGCCAGATGAGCCACATGTGCTGGCTTGGGCTGGCTCAGGCTGCTTGGGAAAGGCATTGGCCACAAACATGAGCAATAAGCATTAACAGCTCTTTGCTACCTTCCAAGTCTGGAGTGCTCTGAACCCAGCATCTCACAGGGGTAGAACTGAGGTCAAGCAGCAGTCTCAGCTCTCTCAGAACTCATTGACAACAGGCTGGGATGAGCCCCAGGAACTCCACCACCCGAGTCCTGCTGGGAAGCTGCTGGGCTCATTCCCACAGGCAGACCCTCGATCTGCTTCCAGTCAAATGCTCTGCAGTGCTCCACACTCAGCTTTTCTCCAGCAGCAGCCCAGCCTTGCCAGCCCTAACCCACATCTCTGCCTGCCTGACAACCTCAAAGCACATCTGGACACTCTGCCATGGCTCAGCCCCCTCTACCACAGCCTTCCTCCTTCTGCAGGGCCACTGCATAACCCCAGCATCCTGTCCTTTCCTGGTTGATCGTGCACTTGTGGTCTTTGCTACGCCCTGCTGCTGAGGCCAGAGCAGGGGTGGCTGTGCCAGCACTGTCGTGCACACCACACGAACCACCGGAGCACCAGCAGCCCCAGCTGCCACACAGCAGCTGAGTGACCTTAGCTGGGAGCTGCTGTCCTGTGTGCTCTGGGAGGCCCAGCAACTGCTGCTTGCATGCTTGTAACCCACCCCCACCAGCCTCCCTGTACAGGCTCCCCTCCGTGTATATATGCAAGTCTTGTGGCCGGCAGAGCCAGCTCATCACTCCTCCCAGCTGTGGCACTGAGCAACCCATGAAGCCCCAGGCTCAGCACTGAGAGCAGTGTGGGGGACAGACCCACAGCAGCCGCCCCTTGTTCAGAGTCCCACACATGGCTGAGGGCCTCTCAGCCACAAGCTGGGCCCCAGCTGTGGCCAGCATCCATTAGGGAAATCAATTATTTGGCACCTTTCTGTAACACGGCAAAGAATTGTCTTCCAGGCATTGTAGCCTGTGCTGATTTATGCTCTGGCCATGCTGCGGTTGTGCTGAGAGAGGGGGCGGAGAGCAGCTGCCAACAGAGCCACACAGAGGCCACGGGTGTGGACGGGAGGAGCACAGCCATGCCAGCAGAACGTGGGGAGAAAGCAGGACACTTGGAAGCTGTGAAGGGAGGCTATGGAACTGCTCTTTGGTGGTGCACACACGTGGTGTGTGCAGTTTGAGGCTGAACACAGCTGAAGTGGGTTCCAGGACTGTCCTTACTGACACCGCAGCCTTGGGCCAGCCAGACCAGAACCAGCACTGAGGACCAAAGTGGTGGCAGCCACAGCAGTGAAGGGGGAAGAAGGCATTCTTCACTCAGACCCAGATCAGTGCCACCACATCAGCACGTGACAACAGCCAGCAGGGATGTGCTGCCTTAGGCACCTGTGGGAAGTTTATACCTAGCCAGCAGTTTCTAGTCACCAGTCACTGCCCAGCCTCAGAGCTCAGCCAGGAAGGACTTGCAGCCTCCAGTCTGCTGCACTGAGCAGATTTAATGGGGACACCCCAAGCCAGGTCCATCCAGCAGCATCCCACAGTCAGCTTTCTGAGACAACCACACCTCCAGCTCAGGATCCAAACCTTTCAACAGCCACAAATTCACTAGTGGAAACCCCAGAGAAGCTTCAGCTCTAGGAATTCCTTAAAATTACCTGAGAAATCACCGTATGTCACAGCATCCACTTTGCAATCCAGCAGCCAGCCCAGTCCAGCACAGGGCTTGCAGCCCCACATGCCTGCCTGGCATGTTTCTCACAGCACAGAAATGCTCCCTTGCCCATCAGATGTTTCACCAGTTCACCAAAGCCAGGATGCCAACTCCTCACTGCACTTCTCCAGGGAGAGGGGCTCCGTGCTGCTGTGCCCTGTCCCATCACTCGCCACCGAGCCCTGGGATTGCTCCAGCCCCTCCTGCTCTGTTGCGATTCCACAGGACTCCAGAAGCCAGGCACAGGCTGTGCCATTTTCACTGAACTGCATCCAGTGTTATTTCCTCAGACCCAGCCCTGCACGCCTCCATCTCAGTGATCTCCAGTGTTGTACAGGGCCAGGCCTGGGGCCCACAAGCACCGGCTGGAGCCCCCCAGCCCTTGCCAGGCTGCCTCAGCGAACTGAGGGGAACTTCTTGTTGTCTGGTTTTTCTGTGTGATAAAGTGTAGCTGAGCAAGCCAGCACCAAAACACTTGTGGTGTCTCCTTCCTCCCCCAGACTGATCACTTGTCTCCTCCCCGTTCCCCTGCGGTGCAGCTGGCCCAAATGCAGTGGTTCAAAATGGGGTTGCACATGAACTTGGGGTGGCTTACATCCATGAACCCTTCCCTAGGAAAGGTGTGCAGGGTGATGCCCAACACTGTTACCATCACCCAGACTAGACCCAGAAGGGTTCTTTTGAGCTCCCTGCTCAAAGCCACACACTGCCACAGTTCCTCCTGAGTGGGGTTGACAGGCCCTGCCAGATCTGTGCCACCCAGATAACACACACACCAAGAGCAATGAGCACTCGATGCAGCCTGGCTGCCCAGGACAGGGCCTGCATGCTTTTCCCATATCCTTGGCACCATTTCTCCCAGGGCCCCAGGCAGACAGTTCAGGAGCAGCAGAGGGCTGGAGACAGGCCGGTTGTGTAACAGAAAAATGTTTTATTGAGTTCAGGAGGCCGAGAACTTTCTCAGTGTGATGACGACCAAGGCCACAAGCACAGACGTACCCAGGAGGGAGGCAATAACAATGGCACCAATAGCTCCGGGCCCCAGTGAGCCTGCAGGAAGAGAGAAAAAGGCATGAGGTCAGCAGAGGCAGTGGGGCCCAGATGGAAGGGCTGCAAGGATCACCCCACACCCAGCATGTCCCCAGGCATCAGGCCACACTCCTGTCCCAGAGCTCCCTGCACTGGCTATGTCCCAGCTGTCATTCTGTGCACCTATGGGCAGGGGGCTGTAGCCAACCACCACCACCTCGGCCAGCTTCCAGTGACATGGACAGTTGCCACAAAGTGGGTCAGTGGTGCTCAGCTTTCCTGCTAACACACTGGAAGAGTTGCTTCACTTGCAGCAGGACCACATCTCAGCTGCTGCTTGCTATCAGTCAGGAGCCACAAGCCAGGAAATGTATTCATGCTCCCTGTTCAGGGAGCTCCCGGTACACTGTCCTGCAGAGCCCTACCTACACTCAGGGCAGTTTTCTTTTCAGGGCAGGTGACTGCCATGACAGGTCACGGGGCAGGAAGAAGAGTCTTGGAGCCGTCTTGGGGCTGGCAAGAGCTCCGCAGCAGAGGTTTTTCAGCATGGAAGTTTCCATCAGCAGGCAATAAAAGCAACCCTCCCCCTCCCCAGCAGTGTGGCTTTAACCCCTCCGGGGAGGTGACAGGCCCACAGGGAGCAAATCCGTGAGGACATCCCAGGCTGCTGCGGGAGTGAGCCGCGGGCAGTCCCTCTCGCAGGCACTCACCGTCGCCGGTGTCCAGCCGGTGCAGGTGCGTGGTGTCCTCGGGCTCCAGCTCCGAGGTGTACGGGGGGAAGGCAGTGGCATCCGACAGCCGGGAGGTGCTGGTGGCAGCGTCGAAGGGACCGGCTCCAGAGGGCAGCTCGGGCGGCTCGTTCCAGAGGGTGGGGACCGCGTCCTGCGGGTACTCTGCTGGAAGACAAGCACCCACGGGCATGGGGGGCCCGGCTACTAGTGACAACCACAGCTCAGCAGGTCCCTGGGCTTCAGCTGCCTGCCAGGTGCCCCCGGGGTGGATGAAGGGTGACCTGAGGGCTGAGAACCCCGGTATGGCAGAGCCCTCCTCCGAGGGGACACCACCTCTGCTGAACGGCCACACCCAGAGCAGCCAAAGGCAACGTGCTTCTGTGGCAACCTACGGTACTCACAGCACACGCGGGACAACACAGAGTGCCCTGACACCCTGCGACCTCTGCTCATGCACAAACAGGCCCCGCATGAACATCCACAGCTGGTTTACTCATGGATGCCCTTGGGACTGGGCTGGGAAGGGCTGTCACACTGCCACCAGGCAGAGGCCACCAGGCCACCTGTGCTGGCCAAATTCACAGCATCTCAGGGTCCCTCTTGTCGTGCACCACCAGCCCACGCAGCGCAGGATGCTGGTGGTGCTGGCACAGCACAGGACATGGCTCCCCCAGACAGGACCTCAGAGCCTCAACTTCCCCCTGCTGCACCCCCGCCACACCGGGGAGATGAAAGCCAGGCTGGGTTCTGTTTAATGTTACCACTCATCTCCTGTTATTCCTTCCTGCCGTGGGTCAGAGACCAAGCCAGAGAGCCCTCCCTGTGTGTGGCTCTCCAGTGCTCCCTGTCAATGCCCAGCCTTGTTCAGGTGGGCTCTGGCAGGAGCAGGAGACATTCCACAGCTCCCTGCTGAAACCACTGGGAATGTTGCACTGGGATGGGGAATAAAGCAGGGGGGAGAAAAACGAACAACATTCACTGCCAAGGCCCTCCTGAACTGACACAATGGTTATCAGGACTGGGGAAGAGGGAGTCAAGAGCTGGAGCAAGCAGCCATGCCTCCCTGGGGCAAGGCACAGAGGTATCCCAGGGCACCCCAACTCTGGCATGGGAACCTTGGTGTACCAGGGACACTTGAAGACTTGTCCCAGGCTCTCTGTGGCCCAGGAAGAGAGATGGCAGCAGCACATCTTGGCAGTACCAGCCCCAGCTTTAAGTGCCTGGAGCCACACTTGTCTCCTGTGGACAGAAGGTGCTGTGGGGGGAAGAGCAAAGAATCCTTGTTAATGGGCTGCACCACGCTTTCTTCTCCCTTAAAATCCCTCCCTGGAATAGGGAGGGCCAAAACACTCACCTTTCCTGCTGGTACAAACCCACTGAGAATTTACTGCAGGGTTTGCATCAGAGTAGCTCCCACCATTGCCAGAGCTCTTCCACTGTCTTGGGAACACAGCAAAGTTCTAGACGAGTTTTGAAAGCTCTTTCTACAGGCAGAAAAGCTACAGGGTATGCAGCGAGCACGGACAAGGAGCACTGACAGAGACAAGTTCCCAGTGTGCAGCCTGTGCCAGTCAGACCCAGGCAGGAGCCCAGACAAAGCTGGGTGTAGCAGAGAAGCCGTGTCCTCACACACTTGGTGCACCCATGGTGTCTGCACCTCAGCTGGCATCCCAGCTCCCCTGTACATGCACACAGAGGTTTGTGTTCCACAAGCGCTCCCCACAGACACCCAAGCCTTTGCAGGGCCCTTCCCAACCTGTGCTGCAAAACCAGCCAGCAGAGCTGAAGATTCATATTCTATCCCATGGCTCTTCCATAAAATGCCATTTCCAGTGGATCTCTCTACCTTAAATCCTGTGGTTTCACAGCCAGAGAATGGAACAAGAGGAAATACAGAATTCAGTGAGCAAAGGTAGTTAACACAGGAGAGAACTGAGCAGAGCTGGGCTATTTAGCTGGCAACAGTGGCATGGAGAAGCTGTTGGTTTAGGAACAGACCAAACATACGGAATGCTTTGGAAGCCCTGGTTCCAGGCTGCTTTTGTAAGGGAGAAACTCCACACAGAAGAGCCACACTCCAGCCATGACCTTCCTGATCCCCTGGACCAGAACCAACACTGCCACTGTCCCCACCTGGTAGAGGAACACAATGCTGGGAGGGCAGCATTGCTTCCTTTCCCAAGAATGTTTTTTTTTTTCTCCAGAGGTGCGTGTATGCCTTGCGTGTGACCAGGGACTGGTGTTAGCTCAGATGATCTGTAACAGATGCAGGCACCATCCAGGGAAACTGTATGACCTGGGCTGGGTCTTCCCAACCCCTGCTCTCAAAGGGATGAGGAGGGAGCACTATCTCTAACCATAGTGCAAAGGTCCCACAGGTGCCATCAGACCCAGAGGTGCCACACAGTCTCTCCTGTTCTCGGTGCATCTAACTCCTGAAAAATTTCTGGTAACTCTCTTTGAGCAGGGCACAGAGCTCATTTTTGATAGCCAAATACAGAGGAAACAGTCTAATTCATTTATGATCTCTGTGATTTTTAAAAACTTGGATGGCTGTGGATATGTATTTTGTTAATTCCCCTCATCCAACTGACATACACTTTCAGTCTGCCCACGCAGAAAAGGCAGAAAGGACAGCAAATGCATGTTAAGCAGAGTTCTTGTGGTTTTACCCTACTGGCACTTCAGCCCAGGGAAACACAACCCCTTTCAGTCAGGTCTGGTGCCTCAGGAACAGTTGTGAGCTCAGAGGCAGCAGCGGATTCCTGTACACACATGGAGTGAAGTACCTGCAGCTGAGCCTCCCCAGGAGCCAGGGCTCACTGCTGGTCCCCTTCTCAGCTCCTGCCCCTCGATGCTGCTGGAGCAGGTGCCAAGGGCCCTGCTGTGGGCACACAGAGGGGGGAACACAAAACGAGAGGCAGCTTCCTCCAGAGCCCATTGCTGCAGCCTGGGAGAACATTGCTCTTAACCAGCACTGTTCTCTCCATGTCTCTCCTCTGATTTTCCCTCCTAACCTAGAAGCTCATGTCTTCACATGCCTCCACTCCTCCAGCTGAGAAGCCCAAGCACACATCCAACTATCCTCACGCACCCAGCAGGTTTCTTTAACAAGCAGAGGTTTCACCCTGACAGTCCCAGTGTCAGCCACGCAGCTGTCACCTGGGAGTGGCAGATCTTGAATAGATCCACATCAAATGCCACAATCCCATTTCAGTCCCCTGGTAAAAGCAAGAAAAGTGATGGGAAGGAGAGTTTGTGTCAGGTACTTAACCCCAACACATGCACACTATTAGTAAGCTTTTATGTCTCCAAGTGAGACACAAGGGCCCTTTCCAGTCATCTGCTGGATAGAATCTGGAGAGATTCTACCTACAGGCAGGGGACCCAGTTCAGGAAGTTAAGTTCTGCTGCTGATGTTTTGGTGACCAGCACAAGTCCTGCCCTTCCCAGGCTCAGTTCCCCTGTGCACGAGCAGGAGACCAGGATCTAAACATGATCTAAGAGAAGGCAGCACCAGCATGGCCAGGCCTTCCTGCCCACACTGCTGCTGTCATTCTGACTGTGAGGAAGGGGACGTGGCCTGTGAACCTCAACAAATGCCTCAGTGACACTCTGGAGCTGGCAGCCCTTCCCAAGGAAAGGGCAAGTTGAAGGAAGCTCCATGGCCATGGGGCAAGAAACAGCAATCTTAACTTTGTGTGTAAAAACAGCCAAACATGCTGCCATCTCCAGGGAGGGAGTGCAACCAAGAGCTGGAAACTAAATATCGAAGGTAAAGTAATGCATGGCTTTGCTGTTCATCCAAGAACTTTGTAGAAATAAAGACCAAACAAGAAACACTCAAATACATCATCTATCTCAAGACCAGATGTTTAATATCTGGGAGAAAGCCATGCATTAGCTGTGCTGCCATCAGTGTCAGGACCAGTCCTACCTCTAGAGAGCTCCTGTGGTGCACTCACATGGTTTGCTTGCGCTGGAGGGACTTGGCAGGGGCAGCCAGGGGCACGTGGAGGGGCTGCCAGGCTGCTGAGGCACAGAGTGACCCACCACTGCCAAGGCTCTGTGCCTCAGTGCCAGCTGCTCCGCAGGGAGGGAAGCCTCCAGGCCCTGGCACAAATGAGCTCTTCCCCAGAATTAGCTGTCTCAGCACTGGAACACAAGCTGAAGGCAACTGTTGCTTTCAGACTAACAGTAAAAGCCTTTTCATGAGATATACAGTTGAGAACACTCATGAGAACAACATGCAATAATCTTATTGGCATTTTATTGGAGATGGAACTGGACAAAATGGACTAAAATTATTAGAGTGTTTTACAGAAGGCCGGGTAGTTGATGGCAGCTCTTCATTCCCACGTTAACACTACAAATTGCCTTATTTTAGGAAAATCTCTTTGCTGCACTGTCTTCTTCCTCTCCCCAGCAGATTACTTATAACTGAGGTGAGGAAATGGGAAAAAAAGATCAGTTACCATGAAGAAATACATTACAAGTTTTCCAAGCGATGCAGGGGCCAGTGGGACTGCAGGCACATGAGCCCAGATCTAGAGGGGATGATGGCAAATGCAACTTGACAAAACTGCTATCTCCATGCTTAGGAAGAAGGTGGGGTGAGCTGCCAGCACAGTGATGTGGTAGCCAGCACCCCAGGCACTCAGTGACTGAAAGGTAAGACTGGAAGAGTCTCTCTAGGTGACAGCCCCGGGGGATGCCAACCAAATGTGAAGGAACCAGACCCTGCCCACAGGCCAACTGAAAGACCTTAAGGCAAGCAGATGGAGCCACGTCACATCATTGTCCCTGAAGGTTACTTGCCAGTGGCCAGTCTTCACACAAGCTGACTTCAGCACCTCATCATCCTCACTCTCCACCTCCAACTTAGCTCCTTATTCAGGAGTCAATACCAGCATCAGAAATTTGTAAGGAGTGTTGAAGCAAAGCAAGGTTGAGTAATGGCTTACAAAGTCCTGGTTCAAGTGTGGACAGATCTGCTGGAACAACATCTTTTCCTGAAATCTGCCAAACAAAACTTATTTACTATCCATGTTCTAGTACTCAAGCTTTAAAAAAATTCCTAATAATCTCTGTTTCTCCTGTAGTTGAAAAAAAATACACACAAGCTGCTACAGAAAGTTCTTGGTCAAGGTGTTTTCCTGTGTCTTTTCCTTTAGTGTGTGTTCTGTTGCTTTTTCCCCCCCAGACTCATTCTGATGTGCTACTACAGTAAAACGTATTTCCTTTTTAGCTCAAAACAAGCTCCGGAGCCCACATGTGAGTTTAAATACCAAACATACATGATTCAGAATACCTTGCAAAGGCTTTGTACTAACTTGCACCTCATTTGGGGCTCTGAATCCAGTACAGGAATTGAAACTGGGCTTGCTGATAGGGAAAAAAAAAAATCAGCTCTTCACAATCCTCCTGTGCTCTAGGCCTACATGCCACTTGGGTTTGGAGAAAGAGGAAGTGAAGAAGGCTAAGGTTTGTCACAGATCCTTGAGCTGGCTGATTCCTGTTGATGTGGACAAAGGGGGTTAAAGATGTGCTTGGTTGCCTCCCCATCTCTGAGAAATGTGTTGTCGAAAAGAGCTCAGTAACTTGGAGAAGTTCACACTTTCACCAGTCACAGAGCCCTGACCATGCTGTCCAGGAAATCACCAGCTGTGCAAGCAGCCAACAGGGAGAGGAGCCTCATCCTGGGCATGGGGTCTGCACGGCCCCAGGGTCAGCCCTCCCCGAGGCAGCGCCGCTCACTCCGGAGGGCTCTGCTGGGGAGAGTCAGAGGTGCCGAGACCAAGGGGCAGGGGCTGGTGAACTCCGAGGCCAGCACGGGGCTGTCGGGCCCCAGGTGGCCACGGCAGGCACAGCGCCAGGGCAGGGCTGAAAGGAGGCCTTCAGCAGCAGCACAAAGGCAGCCTGTGGAGGGCAAGGCCAGGAGCTCCTGTGTGCTGCAAGGCAGAGCTGCTGCGGTTCCGATGGATACTAAATAAACTTGTTTACAGAAAGGCAGGGCTGTGTGTTATGTGCTGAGACCAGAGGGCTGTCTGTGTGCCCTTCCCCTCTTTGTCTGCACCAGGCCGGAAATTTCCTTTTCTAATGGAGTAAAAGGCAGAAAAAGTTCCACTGTTCCTCAAAGCACCTGTACTGGGGGCAGGAACTCCCCATGCAGCAGAAAATCGCTCTGCTCCTGGGGTGGCTTACAGTCCAGGATGGTTCCCTCCTGTCCTCTCTGAGGGAGCAGGGAACAACCTGCTCCCTCAGAGAGGCCTTACGTCTCTGAAGCACTGCAGAGAAAGCACAGAATCTCTCCTACAGCCCAAGATCTGAATGCTGCACTCCCCACTACAAAGCCCTTCCAGCCTCACTGCACGAGCACAACTCACCCAGTGTAAGGACTGAGTAAACTCGGGAGTGCATCGCAGGAGCAAAGTGACACAGCGAGGCAGCACCAGGCACTAACCACAGCTGCAATGCCAGAGCAAGCACATGGAAAAGCTGGCAAGGAGGGGGGCCACAGCAAATGCACCAAATATTGGAAATTTAAAACAGTATAGAAGAAATCCCAGCTTAGAGAGGAAGCAGACTGAATTCTCACTGGAAATCAATCACTTCCTGCAGAGTGAAATACCCCTAATGATTAAGAAAAGATCTTACCTAGAAGGGGGGGAAGAGCATGGCCAGTGCTTCTGACAGCAAAAGCAAGGCACAAACTGAAACTTGGCTAAAATGATAACATTCCCCAACACAAAAAAAGTTCACACTTTGAGAAGGAAAATACCCACTTTTTAGTGCTCATTTCTTAGTTACTTTGAAGGTTTCCCTTCAAAAAAGGTGTCCTAGAAGGAGAAGATACCAACTGCACTAATTCTGCTCCTCCATCCACAGATGTTCCAGCCAAGCACAGCGGTGGATTTCCCTACCCATATGAAAGTTCCTTTAAAAAGAATTCCATCATTTGATCTGCTAGACAGCTGGCCAGATCCCCCTGTGGGGCAAGATGCTCAGAAGAAACTGGGAGAGAACTGCAAAACAACATTGCTCCAGGTCTTGGAAGGCAGGACAGAAATTCAGGAAAACAAATGCTGTGCCTGTTATCTTGGCCCCAGCCATCTCTTCAGCCTCGCCTCCACTGCAGGAAAGGCTTTGGGGGAAGCAATTCCCCATAAGAGCTTCCACCTGTATGCTCAGAGCCCATCAGTGCAGGGGGTTTGCATGTCAGTTTTTTCCCAGTTGTAAAACCCACCTCGGACCTGCAGCCTTTAAAGCTGTGCCCCAGGCTCCCTGCAGCCAGCACAGCTCTGCTGAAGGCAGGAGCAGATAAAGCTGAAATTAATAACAAACCCCAGAGTAACAGTGCCTTACACAACAAGCATCATTCCCATTCTTCTTCCCATCACCTCACTGAAAGCAAGTCAGAGCCAGGCACCTTTCCAGCACTGCCCTGGTTGGTACCCCAGCTCCAGAGCAACCCTGTAAGGATGCACACCTTGGCTTTGGTCTGAGGTTTTCATGGACACTTCCCTAGTTGTGCCTAAAGCAGCTGTTGTGCTCCGCTGTAGTAGAGAGCACAGAAGGAACCAGGAACTGTTTTTTTTGGCTTTATCCAAAAAAAAAAAAGTTTCTTTCCATAACTAACTTCTTCCTGCTATTAAAAGCTGAGGGACAGCCTGCCCCATCAGCCACTGAGAGGTTTTCCATCTCCTACTGATTGATGTGTCCACTGACCCCCCACCCACCAATGCTCACAACAGGTGCTACTGCCATTCTGCATAGTAAAAGTTAAAGGATTTTCTCCACTGAAAATATATTCTTGCTCACCAGCAGCCACCAAAGCTTAAGCAATTATAATTCAATACATATTTAGAGATGTTTTCAGAGAAGGGAGAAGAGAGAGGGACAGTGTAGTAAAGGATCTCCCATGCTTTTGGGCTTTACATGCAAGCAAAGCTCCTTACCTGCCAGCACAGCAGGGACCAGGATGCTGCACAGCGTTAGCAGGACCAGGCGAAGGACTCTGTGGTAGGGCATGGCTTCCCTCAGGAAAAGCATCAGCAGGAATCCTTAAAACTCTTCAAAGCACAAAACAACTCAGAAATTTCACTGGTATAATAAAAATTCTGTTAAGTCAGGTAAAAAAAAAAAGAAAGAAAAAATAAAAAGTCCTTCACAAGAGCAGCTGTGCAGAGAGAGTGCAAAGCCCAGCAGAGCCTCCCTCTCTCTGGCTCCAGGAGCACACCTCCTCCCAAAGGCAGCTCCACCTCCCAAACTTGTGCCTAAAACCCCATAGGCAGCCAAGCAGAGCCATCAGGACCCTGCCAGGTCACTGCACACACAAGCAGTTGTTGGTGAGCCCTTCCCAGAGGCCACGAGGATGCTCCTGGAATGCCCTCCCTCGGGTTGGCCATGCCGAGGCACAGGAAATAACACAGGAGCCATTGGGGCAGCTCAGCCCCAGTTTGAGGGCTCTGCTCTCCCTCACTGTGCAGGGTGGCAGGGCATTGCAGGGTGGGGAGAGCAAAGAACAAGGGCCTCAATCTTCTGAGGCTAAAATGCTCTGACACAGAGCCAGAGCAGCTCCATGGCATCCTTGTTCCTGGGTGGAATACTTACAGAGCTGGCCTGGGAGCCATGGGTGGTCTCAGAACCGCTGTCAAAGTCTCCAAGTGTTCCAGGAGAGTCACCTTTGGCAGGCAATGCCAGCATCCTCCTTGGAGCCCAACTCCTCAGGCATCACCTCCTCCTGCCAGCCTCTGCTGCTCTGCCCCTGCCTGCCTCAGGGGCTCACAACAGTTCACAGCACAGAAAACCCAGGTTTGCTTCAAATCGCATTTGCAGCAAGGAATGGCGAACGGATGAGGTGTATAAAAAGGGGAACACTCCAGCTGATTGTCACAGAAGTTTCATTAGTATTTTGGAGCTGATATGATGATGACTACTTCATGGTTTCCCATCATATAATGAATACATAAACATCTCCAATGTCAGTTCTTTATGCTCTGAAAATATGACACAAGTATTTAAGTCTTAAATTTCAGATTCAGATTTTCTGCAGCAATTGCTTTGCTTTTTTGGAGGCCCTATTTTCCCCATCCCTACTGATCCAAATGACTCTTGCTACAGAAAAGGGCCCCGTTTGTCACAGAAGGTGACAATGCAGTCACCTGAGCGCACAATCTGCACATGCCACCACCTTACCTTCCTAGAAACACAGAAACCAGAGTATTTCAGCATTATGAACAATGTATCTTCCCCACTGGTCCATTATCTACAAATTCTCAGGAGCCAAGTGACATCCTCAAAGTTTGACGAATTATTGCACATTCTCCCTGCTTGCATTTCTGCATTTTCATTTAGCAATCAAGAAGTTGTTCCTTTCCTGCTTCCCAGCCGAGCTCAAAACTAACACACTTTTGTGTACTTGTAACATGGTGTAGAGCATTCCAAAATTAGCTTGCAGAAATTAGATCACACCACTAAAAAACCAGAAAGCAATTATGAACCACACACCTTATGTGTTAAAAAGAGAAGACATTAAAACAAAGTCAGGTTATCAAGCTAAACAAAGTGTTCTCCTGGACATCAGCTAAGCATCATGCAAGGCTACCGTGTGAGTTAGGCCTTAGCATACTTATTTTCCACGGTCATGTGAATGGCAGGACATTTACCATTACCTTTACTGGGATTTTCCACACAAAAACAAGTATCAAAAAAGGAAAGAAAGTCTAAAAAGAGAAACTTACAAGGTTTCCATGTGGACTTCAGGCTGAGGGGAGAAATGAAACACCTTATTTAGGGCAGTGCATTGGAGTGCACGGGGTGGGCACCGACTGGCAAAGGAGGCTCCGTGGCCAAGTGTTTGTGTTAAGAGCAAACCAGCCATGGCTTGACCTCTCCTGCATAAACAGCACCAGCATGAATGCACACGTTTCTCTACAGACAGCGGAGGAAAATTAAAGCTTTCTTGTTAGAAATTTCCAATATCAACTTACTGGTGTTTATTTGAACTCTAAAATTATCAAGTAGAAAAACCAACTAGTATTCCTCACCAGGGAAGAAATAAAGCAGCAGCTGTTGTTCCACATCCTGTGTATTTGCTTGCTGTTTCTTGATGAAAACTGATGCAAGTCAAGTTTGGGTGGGTTTTAGCACCAGGAATTATTTCAATACTCAGCTTTGACAAAAGCAAGCAGAAAGTTTTCTCTCAGATATAATACAACCAGGTTTTATTTAAGTTCTCTCTTTTTTCCCCCCCACACTGGCAAAAGTTCAGAGGGAGTTTAAAGTTTTGTAAACATTTTAACTACCCCTCTTCCCCCTTTTATGAATTTACAAAGCAAAGGAGACAGGGAGACCAGATTTGCAACAGTTCCAAGTCTCTCCATGCTATCAGATCCAAAAACTATATACAAGTCTGCAGCAGTCTCTGTATAGTTACTGTACATGTTTGGGGACGGGGGAAGAGAGAGGAGGAGGAGGGGAAGGTGACCCCAAAAAATGAATAAACCAAACAAAATAAAATCCAAAGCCAAACTGCTCTTGAGCAACTCAAACTGTTTTCTTTAGGCAGTGATGACAGAATAACAGACACCTTTATACAACTCCACCAAAACTGCAGCATATCTCCCTTCGCAGGTTACACCCCTCTGGGGACGGGAGATGGGACCAGGGGGTTCAAACTAAGTGCATTTGGCAGTTTTCCTTCTCTGTCGTTTGTGGTGTGTGTGGGGTGGGCGGGTGGTTACGTGGAGCAGGGAAGGTGGTGTTAATCTTTCGGTGAGAGAGGAAGGTTATGACTCCATAAACACTTAGAGGTTATGGATCCCAGTGAAGGTGCATGAAGTACTTTTAAGGTGTAGAAGATAAGCAGGGCCATCATTGCACAAAGCTTCGTCCTCCAGTGTCTCTCTCCGTGACGAAAGGGCATCTCTGCTCGATACCTAAGCACTGCTTCAAGTGACAACCAGCTGAGGCTGCTGGCACGTCTCTGAAAGCCAGGGTCCACCCTCTCCAGAGACTACAGATCCACACTGTAAAGATCCCACTGTCTCTTAAACGAGACAAATTTGCAGGAAAAGAGCTCAGAATAAACTGGTCCTAACCCTCTGAAGGTAGCACTTATGGGGTAAATTCAGCCTGAAAGAAGAGATGCCACCCCCCTTTTTCCAGAGCAGAAGTCCCCATTTGTCCAGGAAGGCTGGAGAATGCCGACGGGAACTCCACCAGCTTCAGCATCACCACCTAATGAAGACAGACTCGAGCTTTCCCTCCAAAAATTATGTGCAGAGAAGGGCTGCAGGGGGTGTGCAACTTCAAACCAACCCAAGCTAAACTGTGCCCACTACCGCCCCTCTCCTGTTGCCAGTTTCTAAGGGTAGCTTATGAATGCAACTCCTGGCCAGGAGAGCACCTCTTGCCCTGATGGAGCAGCCAAGTCAGTATCTGTGTGGCATTTTGGTTTTGACCAACATCTGTTAACCACAAACTCTCTCTCAATCTTTCTCTCTCTCTCTCTCTCCATACGACTGTACGTGTTGGATGTGGTAAGAGTAACCAGGAGAAGGAAGCAACGCTTTGCAGAATCCCAATTGATTTTTTTTTTTCCAGGTATGTCAGCAGAATGAATCACAGCACAGTGAAAGCTTGCTGCCCAATTCAGCCTTGTTGTGAACAAAGCCTAACTCCCACCCTCCCGGGACTCTGAACAAAGTCCACTCGAGTGGGCTGACAGTAGGAACAACGCCTGTGCAGTCCTGGGCAGAAAGGGTTTTTGCTGGGGCCAGAGGAAGCAGCCTGAGATGATTGATCCTGTGATTCACTGCGAGGCAAAGAACAACACAAGGTGGAGAGTACGGTGTCCAAACGGAGAATCCATGGTTAACAGATGCAGGAAAAGCCAGTTGATTTGCACATGCTCAGTAGTCTTCCAAAGTCTCTATTTCTCCCATATTGAGCCGCTCTGATGAAGCATTCACTGAAAACCCTGTTAACCAAGAAGAACTGGTGTTAAAAATCTGGCTGTAGCATGGTGTACTTGATACGAAACATCTGCTAAATGCAGTACCACGTGTAAGAGAAAGTCAATCTAGGGGTAATTCAGTAAGGCTACACATGCAGTCACCCAAACTGTCTGATTTTTTCCTTAATAAACTGAAGATAATCAACTGTATATTTAGACAAGCATCACTTGGTCTTTAAAACTGTTTGCAAGTTCCATTTAAAAGATGTCACCTGCAGAGCTAGTACAAGGCACATCTGCACATGGTGGCAACATGGCTCTGCAACATCTTGAAAGGAAATGTGCTTAAGTCAACTGGTTCTTGGAAGTGGCTGTCAACACCATGCTTACAAGGTCTGAGAGGAAGAAATGGGCATTCTGAGAATTTGGAATCCACATGTGGAATCATGCTCCCATGCTTCAGGAGCTGTGAGCAATTTCACCCTTTACTTTAAAGTCTTAATGCATGTACCTATGAAATCTAGTAGTAATTACATCTATTTCCATGCTTTTTACAAACTTCCATCTCAGGAGTACAACATGAAAATGCACAAAGTTACCCAGGGCCATCAGGTGGCTCAAGATGCACCCAAACTTCTACCCAACCTTTTAGCCATATGTGCTGAGGACATGATGCACGTGAGAAAAGTCTGAGAGAGTGAAAACTCTTCAGCAAGGAAACAAATCCAATAAATCAGATGCAGCTTTCCTACTGAAATCCCCTTTTTAAGGGTGTACAAACCCCATCTGGAGTATGAGAACAGGGAAAGTTTCCCTGTGTAAGGCTACCAAATACAAAGTTGAACTTCAGTGTCTTGCTACAACAGAGAGTGTTTGCTCTGTGCTAGACAACCAATTGCCTTCCACTTTGAGAGATAAGAAATGCTCTGTTCAGTAGGTTTAGGAAGATTGTTCTGGCTCCCTCACGTGGCAGTGTGGCCTAAAAGCATCTGAAATTATTTTGTAAAAGAGTGTACACATTTTTAAAAAGCTGCATGGGCTACTTCCCTTCCAGTTGGAACTTCTAAACTGTATTTAGTGATTTCTTCTTCACATGACACAAGTTGTTTTTTTAATATATTCAACAGAGTACCCAGATCAGACTCAGTGGATGGGCACCTTGGGGTGGCATACGTCAGGATTCCACTGGGAAGTTCCACACACACCAGTGCAGAAATCACTACTTTAGTTGAAGTACTGACTTTGGTGAGACCAAAAATAGCAGAAAGACAAAAACCAAAGGCAGGGCTCTGCTAGAGCCTTAAAAAAGCAGTGATTCCAGGTGGACAATACGTGTCTGCTTCTACAGCAACTGGGCTGGCAGAAGCAGCACAACAAAGCCTGGCCTGGTGCAGTGCCCTGGTTTCCCCTCTGTCATACAGGGCACACACACAGACATTTATTCTGAACACAATGACCTGTCACCCCACAGTGCCCATGCACTCACACAATGGCCTTGTACCTTAAAAGCTACTTCAAAGAAACTTCTCCATAAAGTGCTACAGGGGACAGTTAAAACTAGCCTCACATAAAAATTAAGACACAGAACATAATAAATAAATAATGGACTGCTAATGAGGTCATAATCTCCACCTGAAAATCTGTGACCACTTCAACCTTTGCTGTCTTTTCTGACTAGGGTAGATGCTATCTCCTGGAAAAAGGTGACAAGGCAAAGGCAGCCTCAGAAAGCTGCTCCTCATAAAGAAAGGAAAACATGCTTTTCTTCAAAGAACAAATCCGGACTAAAGCAATAAAATAGCCATAGGTCAACTCAAAGGAGGAAAGGGAATTTAACTGAAATCCCTGAACTACTTAAGACATTTCCAGGTAATAACCCAGGTATCTAAGAAGCCATTACATGAAGGAAAGTTCAACAGAAGTTTTCCATGAGATTGATACAGAATTTTTCAAACATTAAATAAATAATACTACTGAAAAGATTCTAAAGACATTCCAACTTTTCTACTCAAGTTCAGTATTACCATTTAAGGTCCATAAGAATCCTCTACACTCCCCAAAGCAAACCACCGCTACCACATTAAACATTAATTTTCAAAAACTGAAACGGACCTAACAAGCTGGGATCTGCTCGAACCATTTTCTGTTTCTTCTTTTTCTTCCCGCTCTGCACAGCCTCAAAGTTGGACTGCTGGTTGTTGCTCTGATTGGTCTGAAAGACTGAATGTAGCGAACTGTGGTTCATCCCCCACACTGAATCCTAGAGAACAAATTAAGGACAACATTACAGAGCACAGTGAAGTCTGGTTTATTTATACAGAAAATATTCAGAGAGCCCAAAGCACTTGCTATATCCATGTGGCAGCACTAGCTACTGATGTATCCACCTCATCTTCCCACAGCATTTCCCAGATCACCATGCAAAACCACTCTGATCTACAGTTGGCCCCAACTGTTAAGTTACAAGGGAAATTTGATCCTGTGGTAAAACCTGGAAAGCTGCTTTATTGTCTGCATTTGCCAGGACGTTGATGAACCCAGCAGGGTGCTGAGTCCAGCCTCACAAAGCCCCCAGGGAGAGCAGAGGCACCCTTACCTGCTGTTGCTGCTGTTGCCGCTGCTGACTGGCTTTCTGTTTGGCACGGCGCTCGAGGAACTGCTTGGCAAACTCCTTGGCCTCAGGAGTATCTCCAAGGTAGGCTCGGATGTAGTCATGGACCTCATAGGGAGACTCCACTTCCTTCAGGAAAGAAACAAACGTGGGAACTGCAAGAAGAAGGCAGACCATGAGCGAGTGCATGTTGGTAGCAAACACACACGTGCAACAAACACCAGTGTCAGACTTCTGTGTCAAATATTTGCTGGTCTAGTAGCTTGCCGTTTCCAGATCCCCACGACAAAGCCCTATCATGCAATGCAGCATGAAACTGGATCCTAATCTATCTCCTGGATAATGCTTCCATGACTACCAGAAACCCTCAGGAGAGCTCTGGCTGACAGACTTCAGAACTTTTTCAAATCCCACTGATTTGCTATAGTTAGGACAATGAAAACCTCAAAGAGGATGCAGCCAGTTCTTCTAGCCACTATTTAATGA